ACTATTTTTTCAAATCTTGAAATGCAGAAAAAAATAAAAGGAAAATATTATAATGCACGAAAAACATACGGAAAATAGGTTTTTAAAAACCTAGTATGTTTTGTAGGTAAGGTTGTGATTCCATATGTATTCCGCATGCATTCCATATTTTATTTTTTATAAGGTTGAGAGCCCCCCATATATGTAATTGTGTTGTGTGTGGTAGATAAATTTAACAAGTATTCTACATAAAAATTTTATTAAAAAAATCAAAGGCGAGAGCTTCCTGTATTTTTGTCAAGTAGTTGGAAGATTGGATTATATATTAATATATTTCAGTTATCATTTTGTTAATGAAAAAACTGGGTCCTTCTTTTTAGAATTGGGAAGAAATAATATTTTTAAAACGTAGAATATAATCGCCGTAGAAGTCGTCCCTACGCGTTAAAAATGCTGCAGATATAGATCATTGATGAAGGTCTTGGACCTTGTGTTTTGTATGTTGCAAGGGCAAAGCATTCGGTAAAATCGTGCCCTGGAAGCAAATGAATCATGCAATATTTACAATTCTATCATATATACACAAAAAAATAACCAAGTAATTTCAAAATACATACATTCATTACAGGTCAATCAAATGATTAAGAGGCCTCTTTTACCATTGTAAATAATAATTCAGTATTTTCTTTTATTCCATCAATATTAATTTTATTTTATTTATAACTAACAATATGTTAAAAATGAATGTGTTGGTTCAGACCTATGCTATTAAAAAATCTTTCCATTTAATAAATTCTTTATTACAAAGCAGATTAATATAAAAAAATTTCTAATGCGAAAAAAAACATTCAACGGAAAGTTGTTATCAATAATGGCTAGCACCAGACTCGTGATTCCTTAAAAAACAAGCTCGTGTAAAACCTTTAGCTTATTTTGTGTCCATGATGACAATTGTGAGGGCTTTTTACGAAAAAATTCTATTTGAAGAATTAATTAATTATCTTAGAAGCATATATTCCATATACTAAGTAAGTTACAAATAAAAAAATCCAGGTTCACAAACTCCACGGAGTTCCTAATTCCACTTTCGCAAAAATCCAAGTTATGATGTATGAATCCAAGAACAACGTCTCCATCAACTAATAACCTATATTTCTACTTCTATTCAACCCGTAATAAACGAGTAATTGAATGAATGCTAAATAAAGTAATTCCACGTGACAAATGCCGATAAAAGTTCCTCCAATACCAACGTCTCATCGAAAAGGTGGAGATATTTGGATTCCGAGCTACCTATGAATAAGACGACCAGGAATTTGCGTAAATGTTTTTAACAGTCGAGTGACAACTCTTGTAAAAATAGGTAAATACTACCACTCCTTAGCACGAAATTTAAAGCTTATCAAATAGGAGACATACCAAAGGATTGAACCTGTCAGTCAAAACTTTAGGTATTAGCAAGAAAATATTGATATTTTCCAAAGTCGTGCAATTGATAACTGTTTTTTATCCACAGCTCATATTTGGTATGAATCGTAGGCACGGACTTGGCCGGGCCTTTTGTAATGAGGTTCTTGTAGATAATCGTTTTTATAATATCACGAAAGGCATGAATAAAACCATCAGGTTAATGACACATATCTTATCATTTTCTTGAACGATGAAAATAATAGACGATAGAAAGTTAGAAGTTAGAAAAAACAACGATCACGGAACTTGTTAAAAAGAATTATAAAATGAAAGGTTACTTAGAAAAATTGGTTTTATTTGTGTCTTAAAATATTATTTTGTTCTTTTACTCAAGTGAATCAAAATTGGCAGAGAATGTGTAAAATACTCTAAGCTTCCATTACTTTGTAAGGGTTTTGTTTTAATCAATATTCTTTAGGCTTTCCCTCTTAAGGGAATCAATGTAAAGAGATTTTTCAAAAAATACTTCTTTGGTAACACAAAAACAAAATTAAAATAAAATTTTCTATATTTATTATAATAAATAAATGAAATAAATAAGCAAATTTTTATAATTTCTTTTTGTGTGATAAATAATATTAATACAGTATATATATTTGTGTATATATATATGTATTGCAACTAGAAATCATAATTATAAAATTATTGATTAAATGTTATGTTATTATTGTTATTATAATTATTGAAATAACAGGAAAAAAACATATAATAATAACAAATTCAATAGTGAAATGTTTATTAAATTCTCTCACCAGAAAGAATCTAAATTATTAAACAATCTCTATCTAATTCTGTAACCATAATAATAATAAAGAAATTTAATTATCATCATCTTCGCGCCTCGCATTTATGCAATTTTTGGACTAACAAAATAAAAATAATTAATAATTAATTAATAGAATAATAATATAGAGAGAAAAAAAAGTATATTTGTACACATACAATATGACCACGTTCATGACAATTATAACATGTTTTCTCAAATCTATCATGTCCTTCGGATGTGGGACAACTACTTGACTAATTAAAATTAAAAAAAAAATAATATATATATTCAGATCAAAGAAGGATAAAAACTTTTTTTTTCAATTAATGAATTAACTTACAATATGTCCAAATTGTCCACAACTATAACATTTTATTTCATCGGATCTACAATCACGCGCAAAATGATTAGACCCGCCACATTTATAACAAACGACATCGCTATGACCTCCTCCACCACGACCTCCTCCACCACGATATCCACCGCCGCCGCCGCCGCCGCCGCCACCACCACCGCCGCCACCACCACTACCACGATATCCACCACCTCTATATGAACCATATTCATTATCAGGACAATTACGAGCTTTATGCCCCTTTAATTTTTAAATTAAAAAGAAAGAAAATTGAACTTTAATAATTAAATTTTTTTAAAAAGTGTAGAAAAAATTAAGAAAACCTACAGATCGGTGGCAATTATAACAACGACCACCACCACCGCCACCACCATAATTATCATTGCCTTCGTTAGTACAATCAGCTCTAATGTGTCCAACTACATTAATTATGAAGAATTAATCATTACATTAGATAATATTATTTACTACTAATTATAATTGATCTAGCATTATAATAATATAGATAAAATTTTTTTTATATAAATCCGTGTTTTTCTCCAAGAATGTTATTAACAGATCTTACCGCCGCCACAATTATAACATTGCTTCTCCTCGTCATTTTTTGGTCGATCACATTCATTAGATTCATGACCTGGTTGTTTACAATTATAACATAATTTTTCAGTTTCTGGGCAGGATTCTGCAAAATGCCCAACTGAAAAATATTTATAAATTTAAAAAAATTATATTAAACATGTATATTAATTCATCATATTATTATTATTTGATATATTTTATTATATGTGTGCATATGTAATACGTTTATATAACACTAACCAAGTCCACATCTATAGCAAGCACCGCCTCTTCTGGGATAAGACATTTTTTTTAAAAAAAATTTTGATTACCAAAAAAAAGTATAAGAAAGGGATTAGTAGTAGACAACTTCTTTTTGAATCCTTTTCTTTGTCCAACAACTTTACTACTACTAAACTAAAAAACAAAAGAAACAACAACTATTCAACTTCTACCACTTCTTCCACCTTCAAAAAAAAAATAGAAAGATAGAAGGAAGAAAGTATTATAAAAAAAATTTTTTTGATGATAAATTGTTTAATTTTTTTGTTAGTAAGCTGAAAATTCGTATGTACCTAGTACAAATTTAGAAACTATCTGCAAGAAATACTAATTTTATTGGATAATTTTTAATACGCCGAATAACGTTGGTAAACGCCCCAGAAACTACGGAACCTTCCGGAATTTGATTTTCAATTAAAAATATAAAGAATGATTAATATTGTAGTAGTTGGATTTTATTTATTCTAAAATTACAAAACACTGAACTTTTCAATGATTGTTCTCCACAGGAAAACAAGTCCGTAAATATCCGAGATCATCTCGGATGTTGTTTTTAATATTATATTGCTTTGGGGAGGGGTAAAATCAAAATTTTGGGAGGCCACCAAATTAAATGGCTTTTTTGTGGCAAGCAAATTATGTACAGGGGGGAGGCTTCAGGTGAAGAGATGTTGCACCAATAATTTGTAAACCAATAATGCATGATTGAATTATCTGCGCATTAGGTTCTTTCATTGCAACACAGGTGCAACAGATCAAACTTACTATTTCATTCCACAACCATCTATTTGGTTTTAAAAAGACTTGAACTCTTTTTGCCAAACTTTAGTAGTGGTTTTTATTTTATTTTATTTTTCTTACTCTACACAATTCCATCATCTACTGTGCTCTATTAAATTTTAGCTCAAACGAATAATAATAACTGCAACAAAGTTCTCTAAAAATTTTTTTTTCACAACAATTAAAAAAAATAAATAAATAAAATGTCTGAACCTCAAACACGCGAAGATTATGTTTATCTCGCCAAGCTCGCTGAGCAGGCCGAGCGTTACGAAGGTGAGGGTTGGTGAAGCCAGTGAGCCATCCGGGTATCATCTCAGCTTAATTTTTATATTCTTGTGGTTTTTTTTTATTGGGAATTATTTGCTGGCAATTTTATTATTTTTAATACTCTTTTGTTGCATGGTACTTTATGCCTTAAAAAAAATTTTCTTTTTAAATTTTTTTTTTTGATAAAAACCAAAAATGAATTGAGTATAGAAACAATTTAATATTTATCAATTAATAATAATGAATAGTTAAAAAAAAAATTAAGAAATATATTTATATATATATATATATATATAAATATATATACATATACACATAGTATTGATTATGGGAAATATATTTATAATAATAATTGTTATTATTATTATTATTATGAAGTGGTTAAAATTTTTTTCTCTTTAAAAAAAAAAAAAGAGAGGGAAATCAAAAAGGCATAATACTCATAAAAAAAAATGTAATTTTTATGCCGGTAATTTCCTTAATAAGTATCAGTTTAATGTTAAATTTAATTAATTATTTTATTATATAAATATTATAGAAATGGTTGAAAATATGAAACAAGTCGCTTCTGCTGATCAAGAACTCACTGTTGAAGAACGAAATCTCTTATCTGTTGCGTACAAGAATGTCATCGGTGCACGAAGAGCTTCTTGGCGTATTGTTTCTTCAATTGAACAAAAAGAAGAATCAAAAGGAAATGATACCCAAGTTGGTTTTATTAAGGAGTATAGGGGGAAGATTGAGGTAGAATTGACCAAAATATGTGATGATATTTTAGAAGTACTAGATAAACATCTTATTCCATCCGCCACAAGTGGTGAATCTAAAGTTTTTTACCATAAGATGTTTGTATAATATATTTTTTCATAGATTCATATTTTTTAAAAATAACGATTATTTTATTTATTAATTAATTAATCTAATTTTACGTTAATTTAGGAAAGGAGATTATCATCGATATCTTGCTGAATTTGCTACTGGTGACAGACGTTCTCAATCTGCAGATAAATCTTTGGCAGCTTACAAAGCTGCTAGTGAAATAGCAGTCACCGAACTTGCTCCAACTCACCCAATTAGATTAGGCTTGGCTTTGAACTTTTCCGTTTTCTATTACGAAATCCTCAATTCTCCTGATAGAGCTTGTCATCTAGCTAAACAAGCATTCGATGATGCTATTGCTGAATTGGATACTCTTAGCGAAGAAAGCTATAAAGATTCTACATTAATTATGCAATTGTTAAGGGATAACTTGACACTTTGGACTTCAGATTTGCAAGAGAATAGTAAGTTCACGTCTACATACAAATTTATATATACGTTATCACATGAGATCATTTAACGCTTACGTTGTATTTTTATTTGAAAAAAAAAAACTATTAGACGAAAAGGCTGATGCAGTCAAGGAGGAGGAAGAAGCAACAACAACTACTACTACCGAGCCAAAAGAGGAGCCTTAATTTCATTTTTTATTAAATCTTCATTTATATATTTTATTTTATATCTTCTTTCAATTTTTTTTTACTTTGATTGTCATCATCATATAAGAAAATTCAAACACATTTGTTATAAAAATTTTATATTATTATTATTTAATATTTATTTATTTATTTATTTTTTTTATTTATGGAAATGGATTTGACTAGAAAATGTTGAATAATAGTAATTATATTATTATTATTATGTGGATCTATTATTGTTTACTATGATGCAAATAAAAAATATAATTAATAGATAATTTGTAGAATGAACATATGTTGAGAAGGAAGAAAAAAATATAGCCAAATACAATGAATTAATTTTGTGAAACGTTAATTTCTTTTGTAACATAATCGTTGCCGACGAGTTGTTAAATCATTGAGTTTTTTATCCTTAGGAAAAAATTTTTTAAAAATGTCTGAAATTAATTCTGGACAACTTGTCAGAATGCAAAATGTAGAAAACAGTGCTTTAACAATTTCTGTTTCGGGTGATAATGGTGGAGCTTTAATACCAACTGTAAGCATTCTTTAATGGATTATATATAAACATTTTTAACCATTAATAATGTGAGAGAAATACTTTCTTACACTAAAATTATTAATCAATAATCAGATTAGACGAACTTCTGGTCTTCAAGCACCTATTATGCTGTTGGTTGGGCATCAGGTGTGAGGTTGTTACTAAAAGACTTTTCATGAAAAAAAACAAAAATTTTCTTTCTAATTTGGATGGCATCATATTAATCATATTTTGATCATATAAATTATTCATAGGGAGAAATTTTTACTGTAAGATTTAATCCATCTGGACAGTATGTTGCCTCGGGATCATTTGATAGAACTATATGTATGTTTGAAGCTAAATTATTAAGTTAAACTGATTAAATTAAATGATTAAATGAAAAAAAAAATTTTTTTTTTAAATAGTGTTATGGAATACATATGGTGATTGTTTGAATTATGGTTTATTAAAAGGACATGGTGGTGCGATCATGGAACTACAATGGTCTCGTGATTCTAGGTATTTATTTTTATTTTAATATTGATTGTCTTTAAATCCATCTATCATTCTATTTATATTGTGTACTAATATCCATCATCCATCCATCCATCCATCCATTTATTTATTTATTTATTTATTATTTATTTATTTATTTATTTATTTATTTATTTATATATTTATTTATATATTTATTTATTTATTTATTTTAGTAAAATTTTTTCATGCTCAACAGATAAAACCGTTGGCGTTTGGGATGTTTCAATGGGTTTAAGAATTAAAAAATTCAAAGGACATTCATTATTTGTTAATAGTGTATCTTCTACACGTAGAGGAAATGAAATTTTAGCTAGTGGAAGTGATGATGGATCAATCAAGGTAATTATTATTATTAAATATACAAATAATTATAAAAATTTTATTTATTTGTTATTATTATATTATCATGTAAAAGATATGGGACCTTCGTCAGAAAGATGCAGCTGAGACATTTATTCAACCATACCAAATTACTTCTACTTGCTTTAGTGAAGTTGGAGATTTAATCTTTGCGGGTAGTTTAGACAATGATATTACTGTAAGTGTTATTTATTATTATTATTATTATTGTTGTTGTAAAAGTAATTAAATTAAATGATGAATAAATTATTAGTCCAACTGCTGTAAGACTTTCAAATATGGTTAAAAAAAATAATTTTTTTAACATTTTGACTGAAAATTAATTAATTATAAAGTGAAATAAACATGTGCATGCATATATTTTTTTAGTAAGATTAATAAAAATCTTCGATTATTTAAATAAAGGTATGGGATGTACGCAAAAAAGAAATCTCTTATGTTCTTAAAGGTCATCAAGATACTATAACAGGCTTAAGGCTAAGCAATGATGGCTCATATCTATTGTCTAATGCAATGGACAACACAGGTAATTGATTATATGACTATAAATATTATTTATTTTTTATAGAATTTGTGTATATAATATTTATATTTGTAATCTATCTATTTAGTTAGAATATGGAATGTTCAACCTTTTTGTGCTGGTAATCGTTTATTAAAAATATTTGAAGGTGAGATAATTTTTGGAATTTCTCCTGACCACCCATCCCATCCACTTTTAATGATATTTTTATTTTCATCTACATCATCTTTAATTAATTGCATTCATTTAATTATTAAAGGTGCTCCTCATGGATTCGAGAAGAATCTAATCAGACCAGCATGGTCTTCTGACGATTCACAGATAGCTTCTGGTGGTGGTGATAGAACAGTTGTTATTTGGGATGTATCAAATGGTAGAATCTTATATAAATTGCCTGGACATAAAGGTTCAGTTAATGAGGTTGATTTTCATCCTAAGGAACCCATCAGTAAGTTATTATGATCGATAATTATAATTATTTTTAATTTAATCTGATTATAAATTTAAATTAATTAACTAGTCGTGTCGGGAAGTACTGATAGACAAATTTATCTTGGAGAATATAATCCAAATATATAAATAGATGGTAATATCAATGTGTTACGTAATTTTAATAGAGCCCTCCTCTATTACTATGTAATAGTGATTATATTTTAATAAATATTAATATATTTTTCATTTAATTTTCCGGAGTTGTCGGATTTTGTTCTTTAACACTTTATTTATAATTTATAAAACTGGAAGAAAAATATTATCAATTCTTCTGGTTTTCCTCCCACTTTTAAAGTGACAACACGAAAGATTTAAAAGTTAGGAATTCCTTTCTTTAAACACGAAAAAGATATATTACCAGGTTCACTTTAAAAAATCAACGTGGATACACGTCATTGTTGTAAAGAATTATAAACACTTTCTTCACTTTTATTGTAATTCTTTGGTTTTATATATTTTCAAATAAAGGTCAAAACGAAATTATTATAACTATGGGTCGTAAAGAATTCATAGAAGATGTGAAAAAACTTAAAGAACATTTTCGAAGTTTAAATCAAAGAAGTGCATCTTTAGTAAAAGGTAGATACACGATCACCAATTCGTTAATTTAATTTATATTACCTTTGATAATATACCTTTCCTCGGATAAAAAATTAAACATTTCGCGAATTATTTACACACATGAATATCCTGAATAGATTTTGACTTTCAAGATCCAGAATTAAGTTTTAAATTTGAATACAAACGTGGAAAATCGTTCACGGTACAGATCTTCGTGAACGGTAAGATGGTTCAAAATCACTTGTGAACTTTTTTATTTATATCTTCACCTTCCAAAAAAAAATATAAAAAAATTTCTGGTGCCTCTATAAGAGGCCGTATTGATTGATTAAACCATTGGGTTTTTTTTTAATTGACATTCTAAGACTCGTCAATACAGTCTTATCCTTCCAAATTTAGCGCGTTTGTTTGTGTAGATGGAAGTGAAGAAGATGCAAATTCTGGTAAGAAATACTATCAAAGCAAATTAAAATGGCTATTTTCTTTACATATATTTATATTTACATTATTTGACAATTTTAGCGGCCAAATGTTTATCAAATGTTTGTGTTGATAACAAATCTGTGTGTGAAATTGTAGCGACAATAGTTCCAAAACTATGTGATCATTTCAAGATTGCACTTCCAAGAGATTTGTCAATGAGCTCATTAAAAAAGTTCTGTCGACTTCCTAGTATTTCTTCGACAGATTTACGAAAACCTATTCCACAACCATTAACTTTGGTTAATCCTAGAGAAGAATCTTCTGGAAAAGCCTCAAAATCAATAGCTCAGACTCCTTTATTGTTATTGAATAGGGATATGTCAGAAGTTAGACATTTCAAGTAATTTTTAAATGCAATTTTTAACATTAAAGTTAATATCAATAAATATAAATCTATATTTAAATGTTTATCAATTATTTCCTTTAAAATAAGATACAATGCTGAATTACTTTGTGCTGATGAAATGGGATTTAAAATAGCTGTATCAATGCCAGTCTCACGACTTGGACTTAGTCTAGAAGCTTGTGATGCATGGAATTTAGATCCAGATAGGTAATCAAGATTATTTAAAAAAATTTTTTAATATAATATTAAAATAGAGATTAATTATTTATTATTATTATCATCATCATTATCACTATTATAATATAGATTTATAGTTTGTACAATGCAATTTTCACCTAGTTATATTGATTTACAAGGTGTTATTTCTAATGCCTGTCAGACTAAAGCCTACTTAATTAAGGAAGCTGGCTTAAGTGGTGGTTATAATACAATAAAAGAATCTTTGAAGAAACAATTTCCTGTTAACTTTGCAGTAATGACATCATCTTTGCCAAGGGGCATGCCTAGTCAATCACACCATAAAGACGAGAATTTAGAAAACGATCATTTTATTTTGTCGTGGACTTTAACAGAACTTTTGGGTGATAAATTTTTTGATATGCTGTGTGATCGTATATGGTTTGGAATTGGCTGGTCAGGTGCAGAATATGCTGATCTTATAAGAAAAAGAGAACTGGTCTCTTCCTTTCTTAATGATGAAAAATCAATATATGATGGACAAATAGATGATTGTCTAACTCAGGATGAACAATCACACGCTGTGCTTTATTATCTTGAATCAGAAAAGATGGAATCATCTAGTGCTTCTAGGAATCAAAATTTTCTTTTACTATTATTACAATTCCTTCGTCGAAGGATTTTGCTTTCAACGAGATATTGTCTTACTTGTCATTATCCTCACACGGAATCTGTGTCATCAATACGACCTTTTGTTTGCGGCAGTGCGTTGTGTCAACATCAAGCTTTAGTGGGATTAGGAAATCTTTTCGAATACGATTTGATCAATAGTCCTGTTGTTGTTGATTTATTAATATCGTTGTGTCATATAGCAATTTCTTTATCAAATCTTAATCCTTGTCCATCTAAGGCAATTGGGGTCACCATATCATCAAAACACACTGTTCAAAACTCTTTAATAGTAAGTTGGGATGCAAACCAAGGAACCATTGGTATTCCAACCGAAAAGGGATATAGAGTTTCTGGATGGAAAACTTTTGAGGGTGAGGTCTGTGTTAATGATTTGTTGGAGGTTTATCATCCAGAAAATGAACAACCTTTCACTGTTAATCGTTGTAGTCCAACAACAACCGTACGTGTTCTAGAGGTTTCAACAAATTTTATAATTACCGACTTTCCCATAATTGTACCAAAAACATCTGTTCCTACTAGACATGTTTACTTACCATTCCGGGTATATCGTCGAGAAGAAAAAAATTTTTTAAATTATGACGACACACCAAATTATAAACTTTTAAAACACGTTATCGCTCTATTTCCTTCTGTACGTGTAATGGTAGAGTATGCCAAAAAAAAGACTCTAAAATCCGAACTTGATAAATTAGATCCTTTATTATTTCCTTTGCTATCATGGATAATCTCTTCGAATAGGACACATTTACGTTTATTGGAATCTGAAGATGAAAAGGTTCAATTAAATGATACTAATCCAACAAATGGCAACTGGAAACAATTTGTCATGATAATGAGTTCGCCTGAGAAAGAACAGACCTTTCAAAATGAAAAGGAAAAACTAACAATTGAAAGAGGGGGTCAATGTGAGAACTTTTTTTAAAAAAAAAATAAATAAATCATAGACATTTTATCATCATAATTAATTGATTGATTTTTTTTTAAAAAAAAAAAAAACGAAACTTTATAGCTTCAGGTGAATTGTATGCTTTTCATGGTTCACCGATCCAAAATTGGCATTCAATTATTCGGTAATTTTTTATTGGTAATTGATTTGTATGAAATTTTTTGGTTTAATTTTGCTGAACAATTATTTATTCTAGAACGTCATTAAACACAAAGAAAGTTTCTCATGGTCGAGTTTACGGTGATGGTATTTATCATTCACTTCAAGCTGCAACTTCTACGTCATATACTGGAGCTTCTCACCACAGGTTCGATACTTATAATTGGAAAAACTCCATGTTAAATGTGATAAAGTGTATGGCATTATGTGAAATTATCAATAGGCCAACAGAGTTTACAAGGTAATAGCTTTTAATAATAATAGTTTATAATTTATGATCTTAATTCAAGATTTCATGGTTGTTATTAAAATATAACATTGTATTATTATTTTTGATTGTATGCAGTACACATCCACATTTGGTTGTTAAAGATGAATCATGGGTTACTACAAGATATCTTTTTGTTGAATGTCGCCAAGAACCGATAGAGATTTTAAGTGAAGATCCTAGTCATGATTGGTCAATAAGTTCTAATCAAAATAACCCATCTTATTATAAATTGCAACCATCAGTTACGTTAAATCGCAGTCCAAAAAACAATGTTGTCGTATACATAACTTTAGACCCGAAATACACTCCCATATGGCTTAATGGTCAACAACTAAAAATCCCAAAATGTGATTTCTCAATTATTAGCAATGATTTACCTATAAACGGATCACATAATGTTGGAGAATTCTTTTATAATCCAATAGAGCATCAAAAATTGATTTCTGATACTTCTTTAAATTCAACGAACAAAGGGTCGATATTTGATGATAATATTGACGAGGAAGATGAATTTAACGAAGATTATACAGAAGATTCCGAGATGAATGAACTAGATGATAGCGATGACCAAATTAATTCAGATTTTGATGAGTTTGAAGATGATGAATTCAATTTTGAAGATGATGACAATGGCAATGAAGGTGGTAAAAAGAGGAAAAAAGAGGAAGAAGAATATTGTAATACCAAAATTTAGTTTTTTTATTCTTAATGATTGTTTTTTTATAACTTAACTAATTGCTAATTTGTTAATTTATTATTGATTAGCAAATAGTTTTGATCCAACATTATTGCCACTTCCTGGTAAGTAGAGACATTTTTTTCTATAATGTATAAGATATAAGACAAATTTATTATAATAATGCTTTATAAAAAATTGTTTAGAGTGCTCTTCAAAAGCAGCAACGCAAAGAATATGTCGTGAATTAAAATCAATTATACAAAGACAAAATGGCGATTCAAATGATTCAAATGATTATTTGGGATTCTTTGTTAATGTTGACTTAATACAATCAGTTTATCAATGGGTTGTGTATATATGTATATTTACAAATTACGAATTTTTTTTGAATTAATGAGACGTTTGACGGTAATTTGAAAAAACTTGTAGGTTGTACAACTTAAAGATTTCGACCGAAATTTACCATTAGCTCAAGACATGGTTAGAAATAAAATTAACACTATTGATCTTGAGGTTAGATTTGCACCAGATTATCCATTCGTACCACCGTAAGTATTATTATACTTGTATAATAATACATATACACAACTATCTAATGACACCTTCTACATGTAGATATATACGTGTCATAAGACCAAGACTTTTAAGATTTGCCGATGGCGGTGGCGGTCATGTAGGTTTTCTCAATAATAAATGACATAAAAAACATTTATCCATATGATTAGTTTGTTTAATTATATATTTTTTTAAAAATAGGTAACTGCTGGAGGATCTATTTGTATGGATCTTTTGACACTTGGTAATCAACACGAAAGTGGCTGGTCATCTGCATACACAATGGAGGCTGTTTTACTACAAGTATTTATTTTCAAGTCCTTGTTATCATTAAACTTTTTTTTCCAGTTAGTAAACTAATTCAACTAATAATTAAATATATATATATATAGGTTAAAATGGCATTGAGCTCATTAGAACCAAGACCTGCTAGACTTGATCGTCAGTGGTATACTGAGTATAGTCCTGCTGTAAGTATACTTCTCCAGAAAAAAATTGACATGGTTTCTTTATAATTAGAAAAGAATTTATTATATATATATATATATATATATATATTTATATATTTACTTTTTTTAGGAGGCAATTGAGTCATATATCAGGGTAGCCAATCAACACAACTGGTCTGTCCCGCCACATTGGGCAGCGTTATTTGGTCGTTAATAATTGTTCATGCATTGATCATAATATGATTGTTATTTTTTTAAATTTTTTTTTATTAAAAAAAAAAATTTGCTTTTATTTTTCAAAAAATCTTATATTGATATTAAACTAGTATCAATATAACCACCTAAATATATATATCTATTTATCTATAAGATTAAATAAAATCTTAAGGTTATCCTCTGTTATGTATGATTATTGTTATTTCTCAAATAAAGAGAAAGTTTCCAAACGCTGTACATATAGGGGCATTCAACAGAAAAGAGCCATAATGTAACAACCATTCAACCTAGAATATTTTTGAATTAGAGATCATATATACCCACTTTGCATAATAAAACTTTGAGATAAATTGAATAGAAATCTGCCCATACCTTATTATACTCGTGATCAAACAATTATAAGGTAACCAACCACAAAAAATTTTAGTGACACAAAAAGTTGAATGTTAAAGGTGAGACAGCAATTATTATAGGAAAGATCTGTAAACATACTTGTATTGTAATTATTTGTTAACATTGTTATTGAATAATATATAAGAAACAAACTATAACTCCAGAAATAATTTTATTACCAAGAATAAATTTTAATTGTAGCTTTTAAAAAGATTGCGGGGCTGCACAGAGTTATGGATAATTATTCCAAAGTTTTTTCATTGTGAAAAATCTAATTCTGATTGAATTATGATGCCAACTATATGGTTGTGTTTAACATCTATTTTCTAAATGTTACAATATTGGATGAAATTTTTAAAGTTGCAATGACTTGATTACAATACCAATTTTTCTTTATTGTGTATTTTTTTGAAAAATAGAAATCATTGATTATGGTCAATTGTGATGAAATTAATTACGGTCAATTATGGACATTACTATTGGTGGGCGTCTAAATTTATATTTTAGACGCCCGCAACCACTTTTTTGATTTCTGATTTGGCGTCCGAAAAAATTTGTAATCAAAAACGCATCTTTTAAACTTTACTTGTCAAAAAGGAAATTATCAACAAGAATGAAAAAATCATATTATTTACATGTTATCTAATTCAATTAAATACAGATTCAGGTATTTGCATATGAACTTACATTTACAAACTGCATACTGCCAAATGTCCTGTCAACCTTTGTCTGTCTTAATTACATAAAGCATTAGGAACTACTAACTGAAAACCAGACCAGGTGTAGTTACAATTAACCGAGCATGTTTTTTGCTGCCCCCAATATCTTTCCATGCAATTAAGTTCACAATTGAACTTTGGATAAGAAATGATTTTCCTTCAAGAAGAACAAAACGTGGTTGCAAAGAAATAATTCTTTGTGCACAACAATCAAGAGAAGATTTTTTTTCGAACCACCATACATAATTATATTCAAATAAAATGTGAATTTTTTTAATTTCTATTGATTATATTATTGATAGTATTTTTAATCAAAAATTTGGACACATTTTGTCAAACCGGGTACTTTATCGGCTTGCTTATGAAAGGAATTGGACTACTTTTTCTTTTGTACATGATAAAAAGAGAAACAAATTGACGCCTGCATATGTTTTAAATTGAAGTATATTTATTTAATTATGAATTAAAATGTCCAAAAAATGATAAATATGGATATTACAATTATTGATGATAATGGGACGAAAGTGATAAAAGTGATGATGATGATGAAACAATTAGAATAGAAAATGGCGGAGAAAGCGGCGGTAGTGATAATAATATTGAAAATGATGAAATTTTGAAACTTCATGCATTTTTCCTGGATGAAACAACACCAGAGCTTCATGAGGAATATTCTGATAATGGTGTTATTGGTCTTGTGACATCCAATTTCTTCAGTTAAATATTCACTTACCATAATGCTTTTTCCATTGCCTTTTTTCATAATGGAAGTTCTCCATTCTTTGTCCAAATCTCCCTTGTACTATTGTTTCCATAAAAAATACTCTTATCATGTATGACTAATGTATGTTCTTTTCTCCTTCTTTTAAGACAGGTGGAGTTCTATTCATAGATTCTCTTTCATATGTGGCAATAAAAAATTCATTTTATCTAAAAAGCCCTCTCTCCTATATTCAACTGCATCCTCTCCTTCATGACCATCAAATAAACATCTTGATGGAGTTTTTTGATGTTTATAACCCAAAATTCTCAATCAATGTAATACAAATTCTTATTAATAATATTTTATTATTATTAAATTCGAATTAAAAAATTTATTCTAATTAAAAAATTTATTCGTTTTATTCATTTTATTCGTTTTATCCGTTTTATGCATTTTGTTCGTTTTATCCGTTTTATTCAAATTACTAGTTTATTTATTATAAAATATAGGTCTTATTTCTTTAACAAGATAATATAAACAATAATTATATTTATAATCTATATTACTACTATAATTGCTAGTACTATGACTTAAGGAAAATGTCGGCTACTACTATTTATTATTATCATTATATTCAAGACCAAGGAAAAATAGATTGATAAAAACAAATTTTTTTTAATTTTATTATTATCGTTCATTTTATTCGAAATTTCTAGTTTTATTCGAATAAAACTTTCAATGTAATTCGAATACTCAAATTCATAATAATAATAATAATAATAACGAATAAAACGAATAATTCGAATAAACCTTATTCGAATAGAAACCTTAAACCAATGTTCTGTAGTACCTGAGCCAATTAAAGTCTTTGCCTCAACTTCGGCAAGAAGAGGTTCTTAAACATAATAGGTGTGGTTTTGCCATTGTTAGTTCTTAAGATTTTATAAATTTTTATGCAGCATCTTCTTCATCAATAATTCGAATTGTTGGCCTTTATGTGACTCTGGAATAATTTCTGTTTGAAGCCAAATAATTGCCCATTATCTAATACTTTTTTTTGTATTTAGTGTTGGAAAACAATTTTTGCTGCTTCTTTAATAGCCTCCATCTTTCCATCTCCATTATTATCTATCTAACCTTTTCAAATATTCACATATTGCTCTTCTTTGATTATATTCAGTAATGCTCGTTTCTTTGGAATCATTAGCAATCGGTTATAAAGAGCATTTAATTTTTGTTCTATGGAATCCTCATTTAACTCACCATCTTCTTCATTATCAAGGACAATTATTGAACCAACTCATTTTCTAATTTGTGTGTACCAGCTGCAACTTTGATGAATGATCATATTTATCAGTCATAAATGGATCTTTCACTTCCCCGTTATTTTTCTTATTTCTAATGGAGCATTGATCAATTTATTTTTTTGTTCTTGATTTTCCAAGTTCAATTGATCTTCTTCTTTACTATCACCATTATTACCCCAGCAATCTCTTTCATCATTTAATTGATCTTCTTCTGTAATAAACAAATTAAATGGTATGTGTTTCATTGGATTCTGTATTAATTTTATGTCTTTTACCACTAAACTGTCCATTATAAGCTTTTTCTTGATTTTTGTAACTTTGTAAAGATTTTGAAACAAATTTGGCTCGTTTTATTCGACTATTCGGTTTATTCAAATTACTCGTTTTATTCGAATTATTCGTTCATTTAGATTATCGAATTATTCGTTTTATTCGAATTATTGAATTATTAACTTTCAATGTAATTCGGATACTCAAATTCATAACGAGTAAAACAAAGAATTCAATAAACCTTCGATCGCATGCTTGCAATATTTATAGGCTGTAAATAATTACGGCATTACGGTTTTACGGTCTATGACTTTACGACATTAGAGTTTCGTGCCGAGTTGATTTTACGTGATGCTGAATTGTTGTAATTCGGGTAAAATTTAATATAATAAATATATTTTGTGTGAATACATATTTGTGGCTGAAAAAAGGTTCTTTTTAGAAAATTTTTTTTTACAAATTATAACTAACGCTTTGGATGAAAATAAACATCATGACGATACTTCTACTGACAAAAAAAATGATGATGAATATTCTGATAAAAGAGAAAATTTTGGGAATGTCAAACCCGCAATAGATATAAAACTTATTATTCATGGCGTCAATCATGTGATTCAAAACTATTAACTGAAGGATGGACTAGTGGCAATGAAACATTGGATGAGTTTATTAAAAGTACACAACTTAAAGCAACAAGATATGATAATAATTATTATCCTCAATGGATCCCTTATAATGATCTAACAAATATTGAAAAGATAGGTGAAGGTGGGTTTGCAACTATATACAAAGCTACTTGGTTAAATGGTTATAAATATACAGCTAGTAATAAAAGAACTAGTAAAGATGTGATTGTGGCATTAAAAAAACTACATGATTCACAGAGTATTTCTGATGAATTTCTTAATGAGGTAAATTATTTTGTTTTTCTATCTATTTTCAGATTTTTTAAATATTATTCTGAAATTCAATATATTTTTTTTAGTTCAGAAATTATGTAATATTTCATGATAAGTCTGATTTAATTGATGTTTATGGATTAACACAAGATCCAATTACAAAAGAATACATATTTATATGAAAAATGGAAGTCTTCAAAATCATTTAACTAAAGATTTTAAAATTTTAAAATGGAAACACAAAATTAGAATTCTTTATTATATTATTGAAGGTTTGGAAGTTATTCATGAAAAAGGAATTATTCATCATGATCTTCATGGTGGTAATATTCTTCAAGGCAATGAATGGGATTCATATATTGCAGATTTAGGATTATCATGCCCAGCTAGTCAAACATCATCATCAAACAAAAATGATATATGCAGAGTACTACCATATATTGCACCAGAAGTTTTAAAAGAGAGACCATATATAATGGCATCAGATGTATACAGTTTCGGAGTTTTGATGTCTGTAATATCAACTGGCCAACGACCATTTTACAATTTGGCACATGATGAATATCTTGCAATGAAAATATGTAAAGGTGCAAGACCTGGTTTCTCAAACAATACACCAAAATTCTATATTGAACTAGCATTCAAATGCATGGATACTAATCCAGATAAACATCCAACTGCCAAAGAAATTTATAAGATGATTAAAATTTGGTTCAATTCACTTGATGATTTTACAATGGATAATCTTGAAGATATTGGATATTCAAAAGAACATTAGGATGAATTAAAGTCAATTAGAAAAGAGTTTGATGAAATGGATGAAATAAAATTTGATCCTTCAACAGTTACTGTAACAATTCATCCAAATGCAATTTATACTAGCAGATTATCAAAATTTACAAACCTTCCTCAACCCGTTAATTCCAATAAAGTAACAATTATTGGTAATAATAATGGTAATTACTAACATTCAATCATTGATTATTTTCATTTTATTAATTTTTAAAATCAACAATATTTATTAATATCCACTCTTGTGACAAATATTTTGTAGATTCTAAACAAATTGAATTAGGTATACCAGATGGATTACTTGAATAAGTTGAAACTTGTCATTTTATTACATATTAAATTATTTTTTATTATTTTTTATTTATTGGCTGCTATATTTCTATATTTTGAGAAATGAAATTATATTTAATAGTGATATTATATGAGGTAATAACTTCTCACAATTATCATACCTTTGGATTTTTTTATTATTTTGAAATTTGGATGTCAAATACGCAACATTAAAATAATGATTTTTGAGAAGACAATAAATGTAATTTTAATAATCATAAACATACATAATGGCAGTATTATTTATTTCTTACCTTTCAAATCAATGTTTCATTTTTTATAGCATTGACGAGTTGAAGTGATGTACTTATCAATATATCATGTAATATATACATATAATATATAAATAATTATTAACATATTAAATAAAAATATATTAAAAATTTTAAATTTAATACACGTATCTGAATAATTTAATATAATAAAAATTAGATCTATATTATTAAATAAAAAGCCAATATCTAAATCATTTCAACTTTTTGAACCACTATTGCAGTCAACTTCCCCACTCTCCAGATTTGGTTGTCCCAAATGATTCCTTTCTCCAGAAATACACAACAATGACACAAACTACAGTAGATTGATTGCAAACCCCTGATCTTATTTGGAGGCTCTGATCTGGAAGCTTTGATGATTTCCCCATGGGAAAAGGCATTATGAGTACATTAAAAAACACCTAGAACCACAGCCTTCAATATATAGCTAGGTTCTGGCCGCATTGATCATACCTGATGCTCAAGAAAAGAAGAAATTTCAAAATCAGAACCAGATACTGGTCACCAGGAACATGAACTGTGAGAAACATCCAATCTGAAACAACTTGATTTTTAGAAGTTCTTATGGCAGCCACAAAATCCTGGACGAGTCAAAAACACGAATTTGAGAATTGCATCCCCTTTTTCAAGAAGAAATAGGTGTGTACAGCCTTTCTCAGATCTTCTACACATTGATGATGGCCAAAGACATCTACCTGCACTACCCATAATTTTTTCAATTTGTCAACATTTTTGGCATCCTTTTTTCACTTTTCTTGATGTAAAATATAATTTCGCATCAATGGCAGTGTAATGTCATGCAAGCATTTCTAATTTCTAAACGAATTTATTTCAAAATAAATTTATGTGCCCGTTTTTGAAATGAAAATTTTTTTTGAAATAAATGTCTGGAATAAACTGTGGAATGACCCTGTGGTGGTGGTGAATTGGGGCAAATGGAAGCATTTCTTCAATGTGACGAATTTCAAAACCACATACACAGCTTTACCTACATCAGGGAACTTTTGAGCTTAAGAATCCTTCTATGTTTATATGATACAAATTACAGAATTTTTATTTCGAACCATATTAAAAATCAATATGCAATTATACAAGTTTATCAAATTTATATTACTGGAATAATAGCAATAAAGTTTATTTTAATACAATCAAATTTAACTATTATTATTATGAGTTCTCAATATTACAGTCATCAATATATCATTATAAACTTTTATATCACTATTCTCATTGTCCTTTTTTTACAAATCTTCAATTCCATGTTCAAATGCTGATTCATTACCATCTGAATCTGTAACATAACCTTTACCAAGTTCTTCTTGCCTTGACAGACCTGGTAATATCTGCAATTATTATTTGTGAATTATTTATACAATCCTATAAAGTAAAAATAGAAAATAATTAGTAATAATATATATACGGTATATTATGTTAATTACTTGTAAGTATCATGCAAAAATAATTATTTATTATTATATATAATAGCGTTCTCATCCAGCGCCCGCAAATTTTAATGTCGATCAATGCTTTTAACCGATAAAAATTTGCACAAACGGTGAAAACGCTCAATGAATAATTAAATGAGAATATTAAAACTTTCGTTGATGCATTTGAAATATATTCGCGACATTATCTTGATCTTTCAAATCATTCATTATTATTATTCCTATTTCAGCATTAGTTGGTTCAGTAATCGTAACGATAGGAACTAGGCGAACACTGGAGGAGACATCTTTCTTTTGTTATCTATTTGCTGCATAATAAAGTAAAGTAATAAAGTTCTGCTCGAGTTACTATTCATAAATTCGTAATACATAACACACAACTCAATCTTAATTCAAATTATTCGTTTTATTTCGAATTATTCATTTTATTTCGAACTCTTCGTTTTATTATTCGAATTACTCATTTTATTTGAATTATTAAATTAAATATATAAATAAATATTAAAAAATGATTCTTGCCTGGGATTGAAAGGTCATTTTAGAAAAGTTTGGAAAGGTGGCTTCATGAACCTATTATAATTATTGAAAATATTGAAAAAAAATATATTAGATATTATGGTATTTTAATTAATTTGTTATCTTTCACTATTATGGTGGATCTTTTGAGAATTTACTTCTATCTATTATTATAATTGATACTAAGGTTTCCAGTCCTCTTTGTAGCCAACAAAATTAATTTTTTATAGACCAACTATTTTTATTAATGCCAAAATTGGGCAAAATTATTTTTAAATTTATGTTCATTTTTACAAAAGCCTAAACTATTCCCAAAGCTTTTTTTTTTTTGAAATAGTTTGGAGTGGAAATCTTAATTGATATCAAATGAAAACGTAAAAAAATATTTTCATTATTATTAGTAGTAGCAGCAACATTAGTAGCAGCATTATAATAACATTCATTATAGTTATCAGTTAGTATTTTTTGGGCAATATCAATATATTCCTGCTCCATCCTTGATTCTTCTCATAATATTTCAACTTGATTCTTGGATCTAAAATAAATTTAATGAATATTTTTAAAATATATATATATTTAAAGAAAATTTACTTGAAAATTTGAATAACATTACTATACATACATAATAACAAGACAAAGGTTCAAAGATTATATATAACATTTAACTCGTGTCAACCCGTGTGACCCGCGGGTAAATTATATTTATGACACGACCCAAACTCTAGTTGTTGTTATTATTAGTATCAGTATTAATATTAATCTTCCGAAATGCCGAAATTACATAGTAGTAGAAATTTTTTTATGTAATATAATAAATGCATTGATTAAGTTTGATTTTACTATTCTAATTCTCCTTAACCGACGGATCACTTATGCCAGATCAAATTTTGCCAGCATTATGGCAAATTCTAGTAACACTTCCGTGTAATACTGGTCAATTTGACCTGGCGCAAGTTGCATAAGTTTTCTAATCAACACATCAAAGATGTTAATGTACCATATCTTCTGATCCACTTCTTTGTTATAACGAATATTGGTTGATGTAATTCACACACACACATATATACATACAGATCCAAATTTTATTAAGTAAAATGGGTATGTTTCTAATCTAAAAATGCTCTTTGAAATGAGGTTTTTGGGGTGTGGTAGTTACGTTTATTTATTAAAATTTTCATTTACATTGTTAGAAAAAACTCCTCCCAAGTAAGTATCTTTATTATTGTTGTTGTTGTTTTTGTTGTTTGTTATTGTTGTTATTGTTTAGTAACAAATGCCGATCATTTCGGTTTAATTAAATTCAAGAAGCAAAGTGTGACTGGTTATTCAAATTGGGTAATCCTAGAACTTATTTTTTATTTATCAATATTCATTTTTAAACAAAATTAAATGATCGTATTAAGAGAAAAGAAAAGAAAAAGGTCGGTAAAGTTGATAATGATAATGAAGAAGCTGATGAAACTGTAGTAATGATGATAAAAGGCAACAACAACAACAACAACAACAACAATAATAATAATAATGTGTTTGTAAATCGTAATTTTTGAATTATCTTATTTATTTTATCAAGTAATAATAGTTCCTGGCGAAAATATTCTTAGTGGATCAGTTTTTAGTAAAAATGTAGTAATTAAAATTTAACTGATAGTGTATCATAAAATTATCTATTCTCAATAATTAATAATAAGGCGATATTTCATTAAATGACTTATAAAAGAGCATTGTCAAAAATACACATGATGTATTATTCATTTTAACATTAAATTCATTACATTGTAAACATAAGTTTTTTAATAAAAGGATAATTCTCATATTTTGTAAAAAAAAACTTAAAAATTATATATTCTATCTTGGAAATTGAATTTTCTATTGTCTTTATTTTGGTATTTTATCTACTCCCAACTCACCAGTTTCTGCTCTCCCTTTTGGAACTGCAAGCATTAAATCAGGAGTGAGCCGATTTTTCTTATCCACATCACCTAGCAAAAATAAGTTGTTTTGCTTGTTGTTCATTATATATGCTTGCCGTCTCGTTTTCCAGATTATTTTATTGATCACAAAACCACTACAAATTGTCCTGACATTTTACATTAATGTTAAATGATTTTGAGTAATTTCCTTTTAAAATGCATCATAGAACTGAATGTTTTGCAATTGCATTATTGGGATACATCCATTATGTCTCAATGATTGGAGAAAACGGAATTACTGTGATATCCCACAATCAATTTATTATTATCTATTACTTTTTCTTAGTAAAAATTTAAATTAGTTTACTTTTATCAATATTAAAAAAGAGTTTCACTTTTATTATCATCTTTGTTATATTTATTTTTCGTTTTGCCAATTCTTTTTTGACGTCATCCTTGGACCATTCATCAATTTGGAAATAAAAGAAATTATGAACAATAATAATCTTACCTTTACTTGGCAATGGAATGCTAATTAAAATTTAGGCACAGTAGATTCAGAAGTTGTGTGATTTGGTTTCGCAAAATCTTTGTCCATTTAAAGCTTTTTTAGCATCTTTTGGCGAAGAAATATTTCGTTCACCAAATTTTGGTAAATAACATGCATAGATATGACCAGATAAGCCATCTTTTATTGGTCAAGAAAAATATGACCAAGTGGAAATTCCTTCTAAGGTTGATGCTAATTTTCCACCAGGATTAAATTTATATTAAAAAGAGAATTATTTTTAATTCGAAATTGTATTGTTTATATGCAAGCCATACTAAAATATACAATAAATAAAATCCGGTTGCTATAATTCTAACCAGTTTTTTTAAAATACTATTTTGGGGCCCTGACAAAGGACTGATATAGACAGCAGAAATGGGTCAAATTTTTTCTGCATTCTTTTTTTTTTGGGCAAAATAATACATTATTTTAATTTTAGATCTCAAGAACCCAAGACAATGGCATTCATGATTTCACTTAAACATAATTAATCTTGTTGGAATTATTACTTGGTACGTTCTGAAGAAAATATGTTATTTTTATTTCTTTCTTAAGTAATATTTAATTTACATACATTATGTAATTATGTTCGCCATAAGACTTTGTTATCATAATAACAAGCAGACAATCGAATAGTGTGAGAATTGACCAAGATTTGTTTTGCATCATTATATATTAAATTTAAGAAAACCATTGAGGTACACTTTGGGCAATTTAGAAATACCAAAAAACGAATCAATATATGACATTTTACATTGGAGATTTATAGATATTGAAAAATTACTTTGGGTCTCAAATACATGTATTTTAAAATTATCATGTTCCTTGGACATAAAGGCTAATCCGACCTGACGATCTAAGGATATGATGATGCAATCAAAATTCAGAGGGTTGCGTGGCTCTGAATTTTATTAAATGGCATTATCCTCAAAGAGGCTGTTGAACCCTCTTACTTGTTGGAGCCTCAAACGTTTCAGTAGTTCTTCAAATGATGTAGACATATTATACAGAAGAAAGTGCTTACATGTTTGTAGAAAAGGAAATTTCATTAAACCTGATACCCAAGTTCAATATGTTAGGTTTAATATCATTCATTTTATTTTTCAGAAATGGGGTTTCTTTTCTTTCTTTTGCATGGCCTTGGTATCATTACTTGGGTGATGCACTTTATTTATTTAGTAAAGACTAAGCCACAATAATTATTGACAAAAACGGGGGAATATACACTTATCATACGCTCTTGCATGAATTATTGACAAAAACAGGAGATTCGCGGATAATCCACATGTGTTTTTTTATTGTTTTCCTGATGCACTAAAAAGAAAATTATTTACTTTCAAAATTTTACACGCAATATACTTTAAAAAAAAAAAATTTCAACAGAGATTTGAGAGATTGGAATTCCGAAAATTTTTAACAATATCTTTTTAAGTTATTATGATGAACATTCTGTCTATTGTAACCTCTAAAAATTTGTTTTTTTCTCCAAAAAAAGATTACAATAACCATTTTTTATTAAAACAATTTCAAAGAAAACGTTATTTTGAAATATTGAAAAAACTACTTGTGCTACATATCAAAAAATCGAGTCAGGTCCAAGAACATACTATTGACAAGAATAGCGGACGGCTAAAATGAATTTTAAGCAAATACGCGTCTACTATCATTTTGCAAATTCTGGCTGACCAAACGAAAAAACAGAGGGTGGGTTGGTGTACAAATTCATCACCTTTAACATTTTAAAATGTATAGCATTTTCAATAAAAAGAATATAATTTATATATATTAATATAGAATTTGTTTTTGGAAACTAGAATATGCTTCGTGAACGTGAATTTGTCACTTTTGTGAAAGAAATTTTGTTGAAATTTCATATAATTGGTAAATAACACCACAGTAAAGTTTATTAAATAGAAGTTTTTAATAGTAAGCTGAACAAGTGCATCATTTTTAACATATTCTTGGCTATAAATAAATAAACTCAATATTAATGGAATAAAGGAAAATATTGAATTATTATTTATAATGGTAAAGGAGTTGAGGTTTTTCTTTTAAACAATTATATTATTTTAATCATTGATCGATTTGGAATGAAAGCATCTTTGTCTAATGAAACTATTTGAGGATTTATCCAAAAAGTACTTCTACTTGGAGCAACATATATATACTTGACCTAGGAGAGCATGCGATAATCCAATGAGACTAAAATTGATGGAAGGCTTATTACCTTATGTTCTGTGTGTTGTAAGGGAAAAAGCATTTTTTTTTAAAGGGAATTATACAGTTCCATCATATCAGAAAAACAACTCTTGACTAAATTTCCAAGAACGATCTCTATCTAAAACTATACCAAAGTTCCTTTTTCTATCATATTGTCATTAATGTACATTACACGTACACCTTGTTGTGATCTAGGAGAATGAGGCGAGTTTGTTTATTTTTATTGTTGTCAGGTTTTGTGATTAATTATAATATCAATTACATCACATATCCAAAAATTTGTAGGTAACATATTACACACCATCATATTCAATCTTTCCGAAGTATCTCGAAAAGCCAACTATATTGGTTGAGTCTAGTATTCGTTCAATGTTTTTTGCTGGTTTAATTCATTTAGTTTTTGGGTTAAAGGCCTATGGATTTCCTCAGTTAAATTTCCAAACCACTTCCTGACAAAAGTAATCATTATTTTGTCTCTTCCAAACTGATGATTTATAAACTGGTAAACCTGTTACATACAGGTGGTAATTTAGCCAAGTCGCCAATTATGATTACACACAAATTTCCAAAAGCAATTAATTGTATTATTGTAAACGTTTTTGATGTGAATATAAATATGCAGTAGATACCATTGAAATCTCATCAATGACTATCGCGTCAAATTTTTAGAGTTCTTGAAAAATATTCGAATTAAAGAATGCAAGTGTTTATATCCGTTTATATCCACTAATATTTTCTAACATGTGTAACGCAGAACGTATGGTTTTTCCACTAATGTTTAAAATAGCTATTGCTGTTGGAGCCATTAATAAAAAAATTTTTCTTGCATACTAATTCATCAATAATAAATTTTGTTACGTAAAAATCACCTGATCCTGTAATAATAATAAAAAATGATATTTGTTATTTTGATTTGAGGTCCTAAAATGATTTTTATCATTAAATAAAAATTTTTATTATAAATAACTCGGTTTGATAATTTTTATATGCATTTGTCATTTACACATCTATCCATATATCATCTATCTATACATTTACACATTATTTCCCTATTCAAAATTTTTTTTATGCGATCGAACTCTAATAATACATACAAAATGTGATATAAAATATAAAAAGAAGGTGATAAATGATCTAAACTTTTTTATTAATATTTAGAGAATTTTTGGTATCACAAAAATTGTTTATATATGCAGACTGCAACAAACAAAGTGAACATTTAGTCACAAGGAAAACTTCAGGGTTTAAAATCACTGATATAATGTGATTGTGAAATATAAAGAAAATGTTGTTTTTGAAAACCACTTAACAACACAATATTTTAAAGTAAACATCCAAAATTAGTGGGGGTGTTTGGACACAAAATCCTGATTGGCTAGTTTGAATTTCATTCGGTCATATTAATATGAATCATGCCAACAATAATAATAAACAATTTTAAAGATTATCCGTTTCATAACAAACTTCTTTTTTTAAAAAAAGAATTACTAGAACTCTTTTGCAGATTATTAATCGGATTTTTATTTGACTTTTCGCTCCACTATAAAACTTATCAAAGGTAACTATAATATCAATCAATTATTGAACAAAAATATTTGGAGGTTGAAGAACTGTAAACAATTATGTGATAAGAAAAAAACTGAGCAGTATTCAGTTTTTTTCATTTAATAAAATGGTAACTGAAATTCACGAATTATCTGGAAAAGGAATCGCTGCCTCCACTATAAAAAGCTTCTAAGGAAAAGACGATAGAAGCGATTCAGGAATGGCTAATAAGTCAAAGAAAAAAAAGATATGAGTAAAAACAATGAAGAAGGAGAAATTAATGATATTAATAATCATAGCAATAATAATAACAATAATGAAAGTGTAATGTACATATGCAACCCGTTAAACCGAAGGAAATTGTGCAGGAACTTTTCTTCGGATTAACGGAGTTTCGGATTAACGGGGTTTTTTATAATCTGAAGTTATTATTAGAGTCATAAATTAATTCGGATAAACGGGGTAATAAATCTAAAAATTTAGGATTTAGAATTTCCTTTATCCATTTTCTGGCAGTGAATTGATTTGGATTCAATG